TCATCAGACTGTCATCTGTCAGTGCTCTCTCTGTGGCTCAGTCCACATATCTGCCCAGCGCTGAGGGTTTTGGGTCAGAATGGCCAGATAGACATGCTGGCTTGCATACTGCACAATGTGACCGCTTGCAGTAGGACATCCTGGCATTTTTGGCATATTAAATCTTTTTTCTGGCATACTAAATATTATGGTAGTACTGTGCTTGTTGCAACACATTTCACTTTGTGAAGAACGCCATTTTTGTTTGATTTTCCTCTAACCAATCAGTGGTGAGCATCAATGCCACTGACATCAATTTCAGTTGACACAGATGTGACTGTGGTTGCAAGAAGCAGGTACAAGGGAAAAAAGAACTGCTGTTATCTGTTTTGTGTGTAACTGAATTGTTTATCATGGTATCACATGGATCATTAAAAGTGTTGACATCATGAAAAAAGTGTTGACATCATGAAGCTTCTGGCCTCCTAAGTTTCTCCGTTTTTTTGTTGTTTTTTTTAACTTTTAAAGGCCAGCTCGTCATTTTATTCTCATTTTCTTTTGCTTCACAATAACAGTGACAGAAGTAAGCCGAGCAGGTCAGTGAGATGAGACCAGATCTAAAATGCTTTTGTTTCAGTGCGCTGACACAGAGAGAGAGGAACTTTCAGAAGAGGTAGAGTCATGCTGTTAAAGCCTTCTAGCAGGCCTGTTTATCAGACACAACATTGTGAGGCGAGAATCATAGACTGTGCAGAAGAAATGGATGAACTCACCGCAACATCACCCATTGTTTGTGGACTACCATTTTAAAGCCTCGAGTTCGCTTGTGGCCTTCGCCTTCTTGGTTTTATACAACCAGAAATGACACAAGCTAAGAACAACCAAACGCTGAATAAGACATTTTTAGGCGACCAATACGTTACCAAATGTTGCAATTGACCTTCATGAAGTGAAAACACACTATGAAAGGGTTAAAGTTAAGTAAAGTAAAGTAAAACACAGACAACTCCCAGACCGGACAACACCATGGTAGAGACCTTTCAATCACTGTGTAGCCACGCCCCTAAAGCATCCCCTGCTTTATAGTCTGTTTGACTCTAAATGGACCATAAGTTACTAAATGAACATCATGCTGTATTGAAGAAGACTTGAAACTATGAGACCATAAACATTGTAAACATGAGACCATAAACTCATGTTTACAATGTTTACTGAGGTAATAAATCAAGAGAGAAGTAGAGTCATTTTCTCATAGACTTCTATACAACCAGAGGAGTCGCCCCCTGGTGGACACTAGAGAGAATGCAGGTTGGCACCTGGCGAGAATACAAAATGTGTAGTTTCCCAAACCAACACTAATACATCAACATGAGAATAACTATATATGCTAAAGTAAACAATAATGCAACATGAACACAAATTATAACACTTAAATAAATAAATAAAACGGGACTAAAATGACAAGAAACAGGAAGGCAGTGGGAATGTGGTACCAAAAAGCTAGATTTAGATGAACATAGACGAAGAGATGAGAGAGACAGAAATAGATGGACACAGAGAGACAGTGACAGTCTCAGACAGTGGGTTTGATCCGATGACAGGCAGAGAGGGAACGATAAAAGCTATTGGCAGCAGCACACACACAACAGGATGTGAGAGCACGCTGTGTCTGTTGACAGCTAATGACTGAAGCTGCACCTCAACCCTGACTGATGAATCTTCTGGAGATGGAATTACAGTCCTGAACATTGAATTTCAATTTTGGCAGAGGAGGTGCAATATTATTGCGGTGCCAGTACTTTTAACAAATGGTTAACAAAGTTTCTTTTTGTTGACATTGTCAGACATGTGTAAAGTCAGTCATGTTTTTATTTTTTTGGACATAATTAATTGTATTGTATTGAGAGGGGTCACCCCCATGTCCTCAATGCTAAATATATATGAAATAAACATTTAAAAGAACATTTATGTTTACTCAAGAAATGTTCTGAAGTACAAATGTGAGGTACTTTACTCGAATATGTTCATTTTCTGCTACTTTATACTTGTACTCTATTACATCTCAGAGGTTAATATTGAACGTTTTACTCCACTCCATTTGTGTGACAGCTGAAGTCACCAGTTACTTAAACGATTACAGCTTTAGTCATCCCCTTCCTGTCCACTGAAAACTATGGACCTCCATACTCGGTGATGTTGGATGCTTGTGATAAACTGAGGTGAAGTGTTCCTTTATGTGTTGAGATACGTCTCCTACTTCTTAAGCTTAATACACTTTTTAAAAAGCCTCTTGGATCAGCTTGAAAATGCATCGTCACAAATCTGAAAACAGGCGTTTTTTTTTTGGGAGAGATACGAGGTTCTCACAGGACAGTGTTCAACACAGCTGTCCCATCACCATGTGGCATCACCATGTGGTCCTAAACCACCCGGTCTTGTTGTCGGGGGCGGGTGTACCGGCATGGATCTGAATGTGTTGAATGGACCGTGTTAAATGCTTGTGACCTGGAGATTGTGCCTCGATATTCTGACAGCCCAGCCATGGAAGGGAGGGCCCTCTGGGATGCGCCGTTAATTTGGCAGCGTCCGCCTCGGTCTGATGTTGACTGGGATGTCCATCAACCCCTCTTTGTAACCATTGGCCCCCAGCAATAAATACTCTACAATGCAAAGCAGTTTTAAACAGCGCTTCATAAGGTGATTGACTTGGTTAACTTGTAGGGTATGGCCTGTCTAACTCCATCTCCTTCTTCTCTGTAAAGGAAAACTATCCAGACAGTTCTTCTGCATGGTGCCATCGGCTTTTATGTTTTTTCCATATGCTCACATATAGTCATCAATAAGAATAAACTGTTAAAGAAAACTTGTTTGGCCAACGACTTCAGTGATCTGATTATGTCACCTCATCCCTGATCCATAAAAAACAGACAATCCCCCCCCGTGAGTAAATGGGTACTGACTACGATGTGCAGAAAGGCTTTAGACAGAGCTTTGTTCCTACAGCCATACACACACTTTCAATAAGTAACCTCTAAGTAAGCAATACAATCTGTGCAGAGTTAATCCTGGTCTCTGTCTTTTTGTCTGTATTTCTTTTTTTCTTACTTGTTTGTGCTTCATATGGGAAGAGATTTCCTACTTGAGGACAAATAATAAACTATCCAGTGTTCCCCTAGGTTTACTGCTTTGGCCTGTCTTTAAACTTTCTTCATCAGTCACTTTTCAAAATCCACATGAACAACTCTTCACAGTGACATGAATTAGATCCACTGCACAGCACCTGTTACCTGTTGTTAAAAGACTTCACTTTTAAAGCTGCTCCACCTGTTACTCCTGCTGTTTCTTCTTTAAAAACAGTGGTAAACGACACCAGGAGCCAATTTCAGGAGTTGACTTCTTATTAAAACGAAATTCTGACAATAATCAGAGTATGTTACTATATAAGCAAACCGTCTGGTGCAGTGCTCACTCTACATAGAACAGACCGGGTTAACATTGCATCGCTTCCAGCAAACTTCACAGAGAACAGTGAGGATCTGTTTGAACTGAAGATTCTCAACGAAAAACAACAAAACACAGAATCTGTCAGCACGTTAACGTGTTGTTTACTATGGAGTATGTTTTTTAACCGGTTTACTTCACTTGTTTAGTTAAGAGCAGTGTAGACAACCAGCACTCCGCTATCCTCCTGTTATTACAGACGTGAACTAAGCGCAGACACTTGCCTCCTTCATGGACTCAGCGGTGCTCTGCAGCACTTCGTGACTGTGCGCTGCAGCAGAATGAATATATTTAGCTATCGCTTTAAAACAGGTTTATACACAAACTTGAATTTATCAGTCACACAGGATTCAATTAAAGCAAATAGGAACATTTAGCAGGACCGATGTGAACAGTGAGAAGCACCTTTCCTCCATGTTTTGTCGAATCTATTCAGTGGTTTTCTGCCCATGCGGCTGTCTTCGTTCCACATGCAGGATGTCAAAGACAGTACATGCAGTGCCATCATGGGGCTGCATTGGGCAAATCATGCAAATCAGATTTGAAGCAACCTGGTTGACCAGACGTGTAACAATGACAGAAGGGTTGAATCGGGGTGTTACCTGTTGGTGTAGACCAGAGGTAGCCAACACGGTGCCCGCGGGCACCCTGTCGCCCGCAGGGACCACCACGTGAGTCGCCCGCAAGACATGTTCTAAAAATAGCACTAGTCATTATGGAGCTCCGTCTAAAATTGTAGTTGCTGTTCTTTTTTAATCAAAAACGCTTGCAGAGAGTTGGGTACCCGGAGGCGCACGGCGGACAGCCAGGACGAGGCCGCCGCACCGCACTAGGTTTTCAGGTTCTGAATGGCGGGCGCATCCCGTTGGAGCCAGACGCGAGCCGCGAGCACACCCCGTCGTCAGGTCCGTAAATCCTCGGAACAGGCCGCGGGGCAACAACTCAGGGGTGGCGGGGGTAGAGGCAAGGCAACGTAATCCGACCGAAAATGCCCAGACTAGAGGTTTGAACGCGGGCGCCCGAAGACGCTCGCGCGCCTTGGAGGGTTGGATCCCCGCTCCGCTATAGACGAGATTTTTTACTGGTTTCTTCGTTGAGAAAAAGGTACCGTTGGAAAAGCTGGTGTCGGTGACAACAGACCGCGATGACGCAATTGCGCAATGCAAAGGTGACCCAGACTTTGCAAAATGTCTACATTACCACTGGATCATTCACCAGCAGGCGCTATGTGCAAAAGTAACCGGCTTTGATCATGTGATGATACAAAAATATCAGAGATGTGATACCTCTGACTTTCAAATGTTGAAACAGATTAACAGAAATAAAAGTTGCATGTTTAAATATGTATGTGTAGCTATACCATCATAGTTGTGGAAATCATTATTAATAATTATTGTGAGGAATAATTAACTGACATGTGATCAAACGGTCTCTTCACATATATTATTATTATTAAGGTGATCTGTGCAACTTTGTTATTCAGGAAGTTTGTATCAAATAAGTAGGCCTTCGTACTACTCGGTACCCTTGAAGTAGCTCTCAGTTTAAAAAGGTTGGTGACCCCTGGTGTAGACTGTGAAGAGCTTTCAGGCGTCTAAATGACCAGCCTTCGATTTGTTGATGTGTTTATGTCCCTCTCAGCAGCTCATGTGTCCCTGATGACAAAGAGCAGCATGTCATTTCTTTCTCCTGAGCCTCGCTGTAAAAACACTCGCAGACACTTTTATGGACTCATTAACAAAACCGCCGAACAATCAATGAGAACAGCTTCCTGTTCAGCCCCCTCACTGCCTCTCTCTCTTGTTTGTTGTATCTCTGCTATTATTCTGCGAGCACTGGCTCCCTGTTCTGCATTTGTTTGTGTACATATCATTTTTTGTGCGCCGTGGTCGACCAGCAGCGGTTTGTTTAGCAATACGATTTCTGGGAGGAGCGGGTGGGAGGGCACTCAGTGCCAGTGTGGCTGCCTGGGCTGGGAGGACTGTCAGCTTCATCAACACGTGTGCTTTGAGTTCACACCTGTTGCTCCTCTGTATGGTTCGATTGGAGAGAGGCACAGCGTCTAGCATTACTTAGTCCGACTCAACAGATGCTTTACGTGGAGAAAAATAGGGATTTATGTCCCTGTTTCTGAGCTGATGGATGGAAAACTTAAATTGTTTGTTCCCTTAATGCTTCACCCTCTCCCCCACGCTGTTGCCACTTGACTGACTGCTGCCTGCATCCCAAGAGGCCTCCGGGAAAAGATAACATCAGCAGATACAAACTGTCACATCCCCAGGCTTAAACTGAAAAAATTGCCCACCTGAGAAAGACATTTACTCTCATATTCTGTGTCACATTAATTTTTTATTTATTAACCCTAATCCTATCTGACATGACAAAAAAGGGCTACCTATGTAAATATTATATCTTCCCCGGTTTCTAATGTAGTTTCACACATTTTAGGGTTACACATTTTTATTGCAAGCCACTTGGTCAACAATGTCTAGTGTCTTGTGGGTGTAAATTAGCATATCAGGGAAGATATTTACTTCTTGATATGCTAATTTATCAGTTTTACGTGTTTATAGCTCTATAACTTTACATCAAAGTCTGTTTTCAGGTGTAAAGTAATACTGCATATGTGTTAAAAAAAACGTTTTTATGACTTCAGGGGAAAATGTGTGAAGTGTGATAACTGTCCTCAAATGATGTCACTGTGGCTAAGGACTACAAGTCTGATAAAAACCCGCTGCCCATCTCTGCTGCAGGCTAGAGGCCCACGGCTGCTCAGCTGCTGCTGGCAGAACTCCCCCAAATCGCTGAAGCAACTGTTGGCAGTCGAGTTGGATTGTGGGTAAAGTGGGTGCTATGTTTTGATAAGGAAGAAGAATGCAGGTAATATAAAAGATGATATCTCTGGTTCTGCTGCATACATGTTTCTCTTTTTTAAGACTGTCCATCGTGAGTCCGACAATGTTGTGGAAATGCAACGCTGAATCACTGAAGTACAATTAAAACAAAAAGTATTTCAACCCTCTGTTTAATGCCTGGGAAAACATGCTTTCAAAGATTGAGTAATTCTCTACAACATTACATTTGCATGACTAAATAAGCAGCAATCAAAATCTCCAAATATTGCTAAACATGATTGTTGCTCAGAAGAATGCCACATATCCATCTACAACTGAGTCTTGTCCACAGCAAAAACACAAATCAATAAATCTCTGTAAAATAACTAAAAACAAAACTCTGAGTTGCTGCATTTGAATCTGTTGTAATTTTCCATCATATGCAGAGAATGTGGGTATTTTCCATGGTTTCCTCATTTGACATGAGGGACCATTTAGCATACTTCAGTTTGCTAAAAGTAAAATAGGTTTCGTAGGCAATTCTTCTGTGTCCCTGAACAAATAAGAATAACTGCCGACCAAGCAGTTTATCCTCTGGCATCAACATGGCAGCTGACATGATTTCACACGATGAATATGGATTGTAATGCTTTCAAATACACAATTAAAGTGCTTTTGAATGTTGCTTTAAGCTCTTCTTTTTGGATATATATTTAATCATTTTTACATGTGATCAATGTTCATGATATTAAAAGTCAAACTATATATTAAATGTATTCATTTTTTGTAAAATGATTCCTTTTACCCAAGAGCACAGATGTACAGATTCACTTCAGCAAGATATTTGTGTGTCTGTTCATGTGTCAGCAGGTATGAAACCTTGTACACACATTTCTTTTTTTTTTTAAACATCTTGGACGTTTGAGGATTTAAAAAAAAAGTATTTATAAGAGTGTGTTGGAGGAAGAACTTGTCCTGTCATTATTGGGAATTTGACTAAACAAAGTCTGTGGAGCCGACTTATCAACCATACTGTGCTATTTTTGAACCAATTCTTTATCACTCCCAACTCCCAACATGACAGCTTTGGCCCAGTAGGTAGAGCGGGTCGTTTTTAAACACAAGGTTGGTTGTTCAGTCCCGATCCCTATCGATGTCAAAGTGTCCTTGAGATACCGAAACACTGAAGACCAAGTAGTTCACTGGCACTTTACAGCAGTCCACTCCACTGCTCCTACAATGCAGAGGTCATATTTCATGGATGTACCTGTTTGTATATGATGATTGAAAGTCAAATTTAAAAAACACAGAAGGAAACCAGACACAGCCCTGCCACAACTCAGCTGGCACCATGCCAGAAGCAAACAGTGAATGTGTGTGTTGCACACACACTCACTGCACCTGGACGACCCAGCAAGCTGGTGACAATCCAGCCAGGCTCTCAGCTGAGACCATCACAGTCAGAAACGGTTTAAAGATGTTTGCACACACAAGGATTTGACTTGGTGAGAGGGGCGTGGCAATACACACAGTGCAATAGTACAAAGACATCATTTCAAAATAAAGATGTAAGTATGATAAATATATGATAAACAAGGAAGTTTAGAGCATCACTTGATTTCTAGTTTATGGTGTTTATGGTGTCTTTAAAAGGAAAACACAAGAGTCGGGTGCAATTCAAGGTGACACTTCAAAATATCTAAATATAGTGGAGTAAAATGCAGTCATTTATTAAATTAAATAATTTTTTATAACTTGAGTTTTATAGCTCGTAAGTGTTTCAGCATGATTTTAGATATTAGAATGAGAACAACGTTTAGTGAAGCAGCTGTGCACTGCTCTGTGTTAGAGATGGAAAACCGCAACTAACCAGCAGCACTTGTGATCAGGCAAACATCTCACCACCGTGTAGTTTACTGTCCACAACTTCACCACCACCGATAAAGTTTGCTGAGCATCGAGGAAAGACCAGCGAAATGCACTGCAGACTTTTACAAGTCAAAACAACTGGAGGCTACAATAGCTTATAGACTATGCTATAACATATATGACTCCAAGCAACCTATTCTATTCAGACCTAATTCTCTAAATCCACATATCTTTTATTGTGTTTTTCTAACAGTGGTCCTAATTCCCCATGGTAGTTGACAGACTTTGGTTTCATTTATTTTCTCTCTACTTTGCGGCTGCATTAGAGTAGCTTTCGCCGTGTTTACTCAGTCCTCCTCCAGCTCTCTGCACTGCCGCTATCTGTTTCTTCTTCTTTAACGGAGGCGCTGTTGCTTTTATGAGGTCACGTTCTAGCTGTTCTTCAAAATAAAAGTCCTCTGCCACTTTCATGTTTGGCTGTTACATCAGTGTTCACCCGCTGAGTAGAGCTGCTGGGTCTGGTTTTGGAGTGAATTGTTTTCTTTAAATTTCTATCTGTTCAAATTTCTTCTAAAATATTCGATTTTACTGTGCAGTCTGATGGTGCAGCCATGTTCCTCATTAAAACCTCCACTCCCCTGACTTCAAACAGGAATAGAGCACATGAGCGTCACTAGTGAATTTAGGTCCATGCTGGCAGAATTGGACACACACATAGAGCAGCCAAACAGGGCCAGGCAGGGGAGGAGTCAGAACACACCGATACATACAGTGGAGAGCAAGGATGTGGGTTTAGTTCCAGAAGTGAGACAGGGGAGGGGTGGGGGGTTGGGGGGGATTACAATGCAGCACAAAAATATAAATGTTCATTCAGACATAAAAATGTTCTGTTAATAATCTTTGTAATATATCTATAAGACCAGATTGCTGTGAATCACTCACAGTGGTCTTCGACTCTGTGTACACCTGGCATCAACATGTGGACAGATCGAATCACTTCCCTTCACATCTGGCATTAGAATGTGTCAACACATGCGTCTACAGGGACTACTTGTGATTGGATCTCACTTTTCCACTCTATATTCATATAAACACAAACATCACATCCGTTTGAGACCAAATGCCTTGTTGTTTTAACCCGCAGACAATCTCCCTTGTCTGATCTGCCGGGAATGAAAAGAAAAAGATAAAAGCACTCGTAATTATTTCTATGGGCTTTTCAAAATGTCCAGGCATGGTGGACGAAGCCAGCTTGCTGTACACAATTTCTGAACCAACTGGAGACGAGAAAAAGGAGGAACAAACGGAGAGCTACAGCTTTGACGTATTTTACAGCTACGTCCTTGTTCGGGTTGATGCATTAGGATGCATAAGCACTCCAAAATATTCGCGGTCAAATGTTTTCCAGAACACCTCGGCCAGTGATTTCGGGTGATCAAATTCCTAAACGCCTCACTGGTTGTTCACCCTTCGAATCGCCTAAGATGCATGTTCCTACCAGGTGTACATAATTGATAAAGTTTGGAAAGATTTGAAGTGAATCCAACTATAGAAGACTTTGAAATACTCTCAGAAAACCGAGCTTTTGTTACATGCAAATAAGCTTTCAGTTACAGAAAATATACTGCAAACAGTAGAACTCTGCAATAAGACCCACCAGTTAGTCCTTTTGTATTTCTTGAAATGTGTGTGTGTGTGAGATAGATTAACACATACTTAGTTTCATGTTCTACCATTCTCCTGTTCCTGTCATGGTTCTCTAATTACCTCGTTATATGCATATCATATGCTTTGGTATATCTAAATGATCCACGATCAAACACTGTCATGCACTCAGTGTTAGGTTCTTGTCTGTATATCACACACACACACAAACATGATCTATATCTCCTGTCTATTTCCTCCTTTTCTGCCCATTATGGTTTTCCTGCTGCTGATGTTGTAAACATCTGTACTCCCACCTCTCTGTCTGGGATGTGTGTGTGTGTGTGTGTGTGTGTGTGTGTGTGTGTGTGTTCACTACTGTGAGGACAATAGGGCGTGTGCTCTCACATATAAATGTGAGCATCATATCGCCCTTGTCTCTTGGTGTGTGTGTGTAAATAGTGTGTTTTTTTATCAACAAAAACTTGTCATGTCAGCGTGTGTGTGTGTGCGTTTAAATGTGTGTGTCTGTAGCTGAATGGGATTTCCTCAGAGTATGAAATCTGAAGCTCATCCAGGTGGAACATTGACTCTTAAGCAGTAGAAAAGTGTAAAAAAGACACATCCTGCAGATGAAAAAACTATAACTGTTCTACATCACACACACACACACACACACATACAGCCACACACAAATGCATGCACAAGCATATAGATGTCCTACTAAAATTCCTCTTGTCTGGTTCTTTAAGGCGAGATATCATTTGTATTTATTTCAGTTCATTTGCTTCCTTGTCTTAGCGGACCTTTTTTTACTAACCTCACTTTTTATAGATATGTTCACTACTTTTGTGCATATTGTTAACTGTACAGGCTTTTCAGATTAAAAAAAGATGTTACTGATTGAAATTAAATTTACTGGTGAACAGCTGACATTTCCTGCTCAAGTGATGACGAGCTCCCTGCGTTGGCCTGGACGATATGAGGATACAAAGACTGAACAGTGCAGGTCTTTTAGACTTTCCAAATGTTATGACACCAAATTGATCAAATGCTGATAGTGATTTGGGTTTTCTCTTACAAAACACATGCATTGTATAAAGAAGATATGTTTTTCTTGTCTACCGGCGGTAGCAACATTAATTAAATGTAACAGGTGCAGTGTGTTGCATCATATGATAGCCATGTCTCTCACGAGATACATGTCAACACTGGGAAATTGGACAAAGGAAAAGGCTGACATGTGTGGGTTCACATTGAAACCAATAGGTGTGGCTGATTTCAGGTGCAGCATATACCACAGGAGTGAGTTTCCCTTAAGACCTCTGGCCCAACTCTCTTAGAAGCAAGAAAAACTGTTGACAAGCAGCTAACCAGAAAACTTTGCCATAAAAGATGAGATTGAAGTGTCAACCATATTCAACTTTGATTTTGAATACAGAAATCATTGTATAATTTCATCAAAGTACCACATCCTCATACTGTCTTGTATTTAAGCCTCACTGTAAAACATCAACACCGATATTTTTTTATAAATTCTTACTCAAACCACAATATTTGCACGTAGAAACGATTGTATGTTTATGATAGGATTTAGTATTTGATAAATTCTCCACGCCTGTAGTTTATACCATCGTGTTGCTGCTGGGAGTATGCATCCAAGTCTATGGCTCTCTCCCAAAACTATCCCCACCCACTAGCACCGGGTGTCTCCACCATAACCTGCAAACATCTGTCGCCAAGCATACTGACAATCACCTTGCTTGTTACACTTACTGTCATGTGCTATAAATAGATGTTATGTTCCTCTTAAACTGATTGATGCTTGTGCATCGGGGTGTAACACAAATCAAATGGCCCTCCTACTAATTGCTGATATTTTACTGTCTAGCAGCAGGCAAGAAAATGAAGGGGATTGAATTGAGAATATCATTCGCTGTCTTTGTGGGAATGCTGATTGTAATTTTGTTTCTGTGTTGTAGGGGACGGACTACAAGTTTACCCACTGCACGACTACTCCTGCTCCTGTACACGGCAGTCACCTCTAAATGATGGAAACCCTCATCCCTGATTGGCTTGTGTACCTTCTGACAAGCGGAGCTTAAAGACGACATCCTTGCTGTTCTCTTCTTCATCGCAGTGCTCATTGGCCGGACCTTTTTGAGGAATATTGTCCGTATCGTGAGGAATAGTTCTCAGATTTCCCTTCAACTGAACTGTAGGTAACTGATGGCTGTTACATTTCCACCGGGTGGTTTGCACTGCCTGGATTTTAAAAAGGATCATTAGCAACCACGACCTCTTCTGCTCCGGAGTTTTCCCCTACTTATGCTTGTGTGCGAATGTGGTTTTAGTGTGATTGTCTGTTTGTGTTTGCATCTGCATGGCGTAAGTGAGGGATAGAAAATAAGGATTCTTTTTCACTCAAAGAGGACAAAAGAAGACACAGCAAACAAGTTGAAAACAAGGAGTCGCAACTATGTCCCAGTGGAGGCACCATTCAAGGACTGGTTGTCAGCTACTCCAGACTGCCAAGAGTAAGAGCAGGCTGATGGGATACGTAAGGCTTGAAGGTTCCTTAAGCAGTGGTCGGTGGGTGTCCTCTCTAATAGGGCTGGGACTGATGCTGCTGCTGCAGGCATCTCCTACTGCTGTGTCGGCTCAGAAACTCGACGAGAACGACCCGGTGGTCACCACCACGTATGGCAAGCTGCGTGGCGTTAAGAAGGAGCTCAACAACGAGATCCTGGGTCCCGTCGTGCAGTTCCTGGGCGTTCCGTACGCTGCCCCGCCCACCGGCGAGCGCCGCTTTCAGCCACCAGAGCCACCGGTGTCATGGCCGGAGATCCGCAACGCCACGCACTTTGCCCCGGTGTGCCCTCAGAGCATCGTGGAGGGCCGCCTGCCGGACGTGATGCTGCCGGTGTGGTTCACCAACAGCATCGACGTTGTGTCCACATACGTCCAGGACCAGAGCGAGGACTGCCTCTATATCAACATCTACGTCCCCACTGAGGATGGTGAGTTAGCCTGCGGGCCCGGGGCAGGATGATTGTGGGGCTGGTGGGCGGAGGGTTTTGAACCCTGTCTGTCTGTCTGTCCGTCAGTAGAGGGAAAGCATGACATTGTGCACGTTTAATGTGCATGACACTGCTTATAGAACATGAGTGTGTGAAAGAGTGGTTGTGTGTGTGACATCCATGAAGACCAGTTAATCCTTTCATTCCACTGCCTCCATCTTCTTCCTTCCGTTTTCCATCTTTCCCTCCTCCTCTACCCTACTGTTTCTTCTCCTCATTGCCTTGTTTGCTCTCCTCTGCAGACTCCCTCCTCTCCTCTCCTCATTACTGTAGCTCATCATAGCATATTGTGCCAAGCCACAATGGCTGCAGTTCATTAAACAAGACAGTCGTTGTCATGACCATCACCGATTGATTTGGCTGACTGGCTGAATGACTGGCTGAATGACTGGCTGGCCAACTGGTCTATTTCATTCTTTCCCTCCATCTTTATTTCTCCCTTTCCTTCCTCTCAGCTATGTGTGTGTGTGTGTGTGTATGTGTGTGCGTGTGCGTGTGTGTGTGCATGCCAGCTCCTGTGTGCGTTGCGCGTCCAGGGGCTCCATGTTATTCTTTAGTCTTTTATTCATTTTACAGTCAAAAGAATATCCAAGGATTGTGCCAGGAAACCGGGCAAGAAAATATGTAGACAAGGAGGTATGTATGATCTGAACGCAACCTATACCATGCCACAGAAAGAAGAAACTAGGAGGGAAAAAAAGAAGAACCTTCTGGTGCAGCTGAGAGCAATCATGATATCAAGGTCTACAAATTATTCAGGTTTCGACTCGAGGCATCTGCAGGTTTTCAGAATGCTACATTTAAGAGACAGGGCCGTTTTTCAACGATACCTGGAGGTAAATTTAAGGGCAATTTTAAAAACCATAAGTGGAAGTCTTCCTCTGACTGAACATTTGCAGGTATTAGCAAAAACATATGTGCTACTACAACGCTGAATGAGCCATGTGATTTGTAGACCTTGTGATGTCGATACCGAGGTAGTGTTGCTCCACACTCCATGGTCCATCCATGTGTGCTCTCATTGGTCAGCAAGATTTGGTGATGTGATCGGCTGCCAGATCTGGGGTCAGAAGCTGTGCGGTAACGAGGCTTGATGTGTAAGGAGATAGGAGCATATTAGATCAGACATGCTGTCACAAACACACACACACACACACACACACACACGTACAGTGATGTAGTTGCATGCAGTGTTAAACAAGATGAGCTCAAGCTAGACCATGACTGTGTAATCTCCATTAAAAGAAGGCAGAGCTGTGTTCAGGTTGGCCCGGGCTGCTGTATCAAGCACTGTTTCATCAAGATAATGCCCTCCTCCTCCCTCTGTCTCTCTCCCTGTCTCCCAGCCTCTCCCTCCCTGGATGTGTGCACGCTTTTTAGTGTCTATACATGTTTGTATGAGAGTGTGTAAGATTGTGTGAGTGTGTGTGTGTGTGTGTGAGAGAGAGAGAGACAGTTGCTGACAGTGTCCTTGATAAGGTCTGGGTGTTAATGTCATTTTCTTGGCAGCAGGCTGCATTATCACTTAGTGTACATTCCTCCTCTACTTACTACACGGATACATGTGCACTCTAACCTCTCCTTTCCTCAGACGTGTAGCACGCACAGAGACACAATGGGGGAGTGCTTTTAAATTGGGAGATTACAGAAGCTTACATGTTAGTCATACAGCATGGAGAATCACCATTATATACAGCATGGAGAATCACCATTATAAAACCAAGACCCAGACAATCTGGAGCTTTGCTTAAGAAAACAATGAAAAGCAAAGAAAAACAAGATGGTGGATCTGTGGCCTTCTTAAGGTAGAAAGTGTTACCCACTTACCCACTTACAATTATCCACCGTCTGTGCCTCACTTTATTAACGTGTACATACATGAATGCATGTAGGCCACATGTTGTTAACAGGCTTACTCAGCCTTACTCTGTCAAAAAACAAAGTTTAACAACACAGTATTTATTAACACTGCATTATAACTAGACAGAAGGTAATACATTTGAACTTCCTTATGTAACTGCCACATTTTGCAGAGATCTCCTGCAATATGTTATACATTTCCCTACATTTTGTTATCAATCATTACTTATTGCAGAGGATGTTTCAAGATGTGTTCAAGAGAGCTAAGGGATACAGTGACACTTGTGGTGTTGGTCAATAATAATAATGATAATAATAATAATGATAATAATGTAGATAATTAATTGTATCTTTTTAAATTATTTTTTTATTGAAGACATCCATGTTGGTTGGTTAATACATAATGCACTATTCAATTTTCATAAAAAAATGCAACACCCAACTTTTTAATAATCACTGCAATATCTAATAAGGTATTAACAAATGCAGCAGATCATTACAACATGTTGGTTCATTCCGTCCAGGTATTATTATATATTTACAGTGTTCATTCTACCTCATTTGTGAACAATTAAGAAGCTTATTACAATTATTACAGACAGTAGGGCTGCATAATAAATATAAATATGGCCAACTGCAAATTTCAAATCATAATCAATTGCAATATCAGTCGAAAACATTTTTTCAAAATGTGTTTAGCCAGAACAGACAGATGACACATGAAAGGACCTGAGGCAGATTTAAATCTGGGAGATATTCCTCACAATATGGAAAATATTGGACTTTTTAAATCAATAAAAATCAAGAAAAATAACAAATTTGGCTTCTATTCTTAAAAGTAAAATACTATACCCTCGCATGTATGTTAGGCTGGTTGAGTGTACAGTAGGGGTGGGGGAAAAATCGATACAGCATAGTATCGCGATATTTTGCGTGGCGATATTGTATCGTGATAATATCGCAGTATCGTGATAATATCGTATCGTGACCTAAGTATCGTGATAATATCGTATCGCGGGACCGCTGGTGATTCCCACCCCTATTGTACAGCAGCTTAGATGGCTGACATGTTTCTGAATGACTGTACAATATAGCACTGGTCATTATAAACAAACATTATCTGAAGCCGTAATCTCAGAACACAAGCTGTTTGCTTGTAAGCTGTTAAATAATGGAGCTGTTTTGATTGGAGCTATGTTCCACCAGGAACATGGGAGCTTCCACACCTGTCTGCTCAGAACAAGCTGATGAAGCTGTGCATGATCACTGAGGAGCCGGCCAGATGAATACTTCCAAGCAGATGGTCAAATTTTATGACATCTAGTCAAAAAAAATAAGGTGGTATAAAAAAATGAAGTAAATTTTCATACTTTCAGTATGTCCTGATCTGTGCCAGCCTGTGATAACATCGCTCTGAGTGTTATCATTTGTTATCACTTCCATTATAATGCTTTAGATAGAGCAAAATAAGAAAGCTGCACTTTCAAAAGAAAAGGTTGCAGCTTTAGACATGATTCATATTTTGATCTGAAACAAAACTACATGGTTAGGTTTACATCGCTTGAGCGACCTTACGCACACAACTTAAATACTGAGGCCGGCAACAGATACATATTTCCATGATGTGTCATTTTACTAGGATTCTTAGGGAGACAAAATCAGTTAATTAGTTAGCTCTTATTGACGGGAGTCATGTCTGTCTAGTAGCAGTCGTACAGCGTCACACAGAGGCCCTACTGGTAATCATACAGTCTTTGGGGAATCTACAGTCAGTTCTGCAGCATTCTGGAGGTTTCCTTTACAATGGCAAAGCCTATTTCTGTGGATTCGTTCAGTTCGGTCATTATCAGTAACACAGTAGCACAAAGTGTGGTCAGTGGTGCATGGTGTAAGTGGACAGATCATGGTGAGTGACAGGGTAATTTCACCGGGTTGGATTGGAAGAGTTAAAGTGTGGGAGGGACTCAAATCAGTCACGATCAATCAAATCAACTGTGTTCTGTTTTGTTTTTTCTTCTTTTTTTAAGTAACACACTCTACAATTACTACTGTTTTGTTGTCTAACAGTTTCAAACTGATGTGAAATGGCAGGGAAGGGAAGCAGACATCCTTGAGCTGCAGGTGCAAAATCACCATGAGTGAATATTTGGAACCTTAGATTTCATTTCTGGAGAGATATTCACAACTTATGCTTACGACGCTCCCAAAGATCTTGAATTGATTGATTCTCGTAAAGGTTGAGCAGTTATTTAGACAGAGAACAGAGAACTGGAAGAGGACAACTTTCATCAGGCTGTTCTCACACACTGCTCTTAGCGATACCTACACAAATTATGAGCTTTTGTATATCAATTTGCATGTAATTGTGAGCCCCTACAGGTGACAAAGGATAAAGAGTGGTAAGGTCCATGTAGGGAGGGTTGCTGGCTCTTAAAATACCAGACTGTCACCCACAGGACACCGCTCTCCATGTCCTGTGGGAAAACAAAAGTCAACATTGACTAATGCTACGTTGCCTTTTCCTAAACCTAACCAAGTGGTTTTGTTGCCAGACATTCATTGAAAATTTGAAAATAAATAAAGAGTAACTTTAAGATATCTGACTAACCGTTGTGTAAGGAGACATTGCTTACAATATATACATTTGTATTCAGGAATCTTAATTTTGCTAGTCCCACTGCATACTAACGATAGCAACGTTCACATGAACAAAGAGAACCAAGGTTAAAAGGGGCAACATGTAAAGAGACAGATAATGGGCAGTGATGAAGAGCAGCATAAAAAGGCAGACATGGAGCAATAATGGAGTCAAGAAGGACAAAAACAAAGTGAGACCAGGACACAGAGAGAGACAGTGAAAGTGAGTGACGCACAGTGTAATTGCTGTGGGACTCATCTCCGTGTCCTCATGAGGACTATTGTACCGTCCGGTGCCATGCTGGTTCAAAGAAGCCTTCTGTGGTTAAAGTAGTGTTTTTGATGTGTCCGGATGGAGTACGGTCATTAAGTTATCACATGCTGAGAGAGCGGTCTCTGTAATGAGATCAGTGGTAGCAGCACTACGGTTGGTCTTCTTTCTCCCTGCAGCATGCATTCATGTTTTAGGATTGAAGTAAATGCAATAGAAGCTCACGTTGATGACAGCTAACTGAACAAAAAGTTTAAAAAAAAAAAAGAAAAAAGAAAAGTGACACAGAAACTTGCTTGAAAGGAGAACAAGGACGTTTCTGTTTTGAGATCAGACATAATTGCACATGACATGCATATTAGTACAAATCATTGCTACACATCTGTGATGACTTTCAATGGATTTCAATGTTTTATGTAAGGTCGATATTGGAACTACAAAATGATGTTGTTTGGTAGAGAAAAATAACTGAGGAAGCAGCAGCTTGTTAATTTGAACTTTGAATGACATTCTGTAGCTGTTTTGTAGCAATGCAGTGCTGTAATGTAATGCTAATATAATATCATTTATATTTTTAAAAATACATGAAAAACAGGGAGCAAAATAAACAGTGGTTCTAAATAGCTATCTATATCTTTGGACCATTTGTTCTCTCTTGTTGCTGGTTCTGTACTTTTACTACTACTGTCTTCACTAAACCAACAGCTAAATGCTGGCATGGCATGTTGATGCCTCAACCCTACGGGTTGTCTAAAGGCATTATGGGTAACAGAAAAACACAAGCTGATGCAGAAGTACATGCAAGAGGGCAGTTCATACAGCACAAATCCAAACACTGTCAATAATAATAGCAAATGCATTAAGATTATTGAATATATGAAGACAAATATATTTATCTGAATCTGACATCAGGACAGAACATGGTGAGAATATCAGAGTTGTTTTGTCTTTAACAATTCATCGGTTTGGAGCTGGCATAGCAGCTTGTCATGAGGCTGTTCTATATTTAAGCATGCTATATTTTGTTGTTTCAGTGTCTACGCACTTCTATGATATTTTAGCCAGTGGTGGGCCGTCAGGGCCAGCTAAGCCTTCTCTGCTGGCCTAAACTGAATCACAAAGTTATAGCTATTTTATCATTTTACAGCATGGAACGGTATTTCTGGCTGACAGCGTCAGAGAAGCGTTGCACATTTTATGGCTAAGAATGCGTTTCATTTGCAACTGAGCTCTTGGTGTTTGGAGCTACGCTACGCTAACCAAGGCAGCTACACGACAGGACACGCACAAGCTACGTGCTTTTGAAAACTTTTGGAGAGACCAGAGTGGATCTACAACTCAACGAACACGTTCGCAGGAGGACTCCGGCTGGAACTGAACCGCACCGATGTTCTGAACAACCGCGTCATTAAACTCTTTGTTAACAAAGAAAGAAGGATGGACTTTGTCTTTAAGTGAACAGCAGCTTTGGTAAATGAAGTGCTTTTGCGTTTTTACATCTGCAGTATCGTTACTACTGTGTTCATTTGTCTATCGTGTCGTTTTTATGAATAATATGAATGGCTCGTGCTCTAGCGCTGCAGTGTTGCTGCATTGATTTATTGCTTTGTTGTCATATAAATATATGTGACTGGTTCTTGTGAGTTTGTTCTTGTCATTGTGTTAATTACATTGATTTGGACTATATGCATTGTCCATTAATGACAAAGCATCCCGTCATGCGCGGGGTTATTGTCCGGACAATTGAATCCGTTCGGGCTGTTGTTTCCCCGCTAAGCTAGTTAGCTTAGCCTTCCTGAAGACACGTGCGGGGCCTCAGCTGTTTTTTGTTATTGTTCCGGTTCAGAGGTCACAGCCCGTTGTCTGTTACGTGAGCGCAGTCCACCGAAAACATTATATTTCCCTCAATTTAAGCTTCTGCATTTTCCAAATGCACTAGTATTATTCAAACGTATTGTTCGGTTCGTAAGCCTCCTACTGAACGGTTTAATATGAATACGTGTATTATTACACCCCTAGAAACAAATAACCATAGCTGTGTCGTCATAATGAGCTTATTAGGAGATGGCTCAAGTGTAGTAGGACACCACAGAAGGCCCAGGTACAAAATGCACGGCCCGCCACTGCTTTTAGCAGCTAGCGGCAAAAGTCAGTGCAACGAAAGATGGACTGCTTTCTGGAAACAAGCAATCAGCTGTGTTGATGTCTGAGCAGAGCTGCAGCTCGAAAGGAAACCCATGTAAACATGTAATATACATCAGGACTGGCAGTGCTGGATACGACCTTGGCAAGACTGAAAAATAAAGTATGTTTACTTGGAATCTGTGTGGAGCAGTTGACCAGCATGTAAAAAACTGCAATATCATTAGAATGTGATGACATTTTTTATAATTAATGCAGGCCATGTAAATTACATACAGAGCATTCCTGTTGTTAAATGTAAAATAAATGCCGTTAAAAAATCTTCTGGTATTTAACTGGAACACATTGTAAGATAATCTAACCCTAGTACAGACTCTGTCTTGTCCTCAGCTCACCAGTGTTTATATTACCAATGAACACTTTGACAAAATATCTCTTCAATGTCCTTTTCTTCCACAAATAAGACGAGATGAAGACATCGACGTCATTAAACACTAACTATGACTATTGTTGACAAAAAAAAAGATGTGACTAAAATGCAGTTTTTCAAATAAAACTTTAAGTCTAAAAAAGAAGAGGACACGAAATCTTATACTTTTTTTTGGTTTGGAGTAGATCGACTGACATTTTCAATATAATATGTTGACTAAAACTAGACTGAAAAAGGTCCTGTTTTATTTGACTAAGTTAAGACTAACATGCCTAGATTTTAAAACCACTCACGTCTCATTAAAAGTACAACTGCAGCCAGGATATGTTTATTAAATATAAAATGGGATACGGTTAACTTGGCTAGCTAGTTTGTATTTGTCCAAATTAAACAAATGTATCTTGTGTTTAAAATGTAAAAATGACAAGTTATATGTAAAATAAAGAAAAAGTGCTTTTTGCTGCACACTTACTGACTGAGTA